CTGCTAACACCCCTCCCCCAGGTGTCCAGGGGCCTGCAGTTCCCCCTGGAGGTGTTCATGACGCGCGGCAAGGGCTGGGGTGTGCGCTGCGCGGTCGACCTGCCGGCGGGGGCGCCCCTCTGCCGCTACATTGGCCTCGTCATCACAGACAGGCGAGCGGCGTTTATCTGCACCATCAGATCCTTCGGAGGCCATACTTCTGATCATGTCGTTTTTTTGAGAATGCCTGCACGGTTGAGCCAAAATCACCTGTCCTGCAGGCTGTCCGGGCCCCGCCATCCGGCGCCACAGGGCGGCGGCCGCAGCTGGGGGCCTGTCGCACCTGCCGCAGCCGGGGCAAGCACCTGCTTGATGGGGGGCGAGGGGTAAGCCCCTTGCGTGTGCTCAGCGGGGGGAGCCCCGACGCGGTTGTCTCCCTCAGCCTTCTGCCCCATCTCCCCCTGCTCTCCCCTCCCTCGCCCTTTCCCGCGCCTCCCAGCAACACGACCTCCGCCCCTCCCCCCTGCCACACCCTTGCCACACCCCATGCATCAAACCTAATCCTGTGTTCCCCTTCTCCCGCTCCTCTCCCCCTCCCACGCACACTCCCTCTGTCTCACACACTCGGTCTCTCTCCCTCACCCTCACCCTCACCCTCACCCCCATCCTCATCCTCACCCTCACCCCCATCCTCATCCTCACCCTCACCCTCACCCTCACCCTCACCCCCACCCTCACCCTCACCCACAGCATTGCGGACCGCCTGAGGGGCCAGGACAACTACCTGTTCGACCTCAGCCACTTCCACGACGTGCAGAGGGCAGAGGTAAGCAGGGATGCCGGTGTGTGTGTGTGTGTGTGTGTGTGTGTGTGTGTGTGTTTGTGTGCGCGTGCGCGTGTGTTTGTGTGTGTATGTGTCATGCACACGGGCAGAGGGCGGAGATGGGCGCGGGGGGCTCACCTCCTACCGGATTTTTCCATAAGGGATGCATGTCTGCATTCATGGGTGCCGATGCATTGAGCACGGGCGATGCGGCGAGGATTCAGGGCGCATGTGCTGCGATCATGTGGGGGTGGCATGCGCCGGGATGCCGCTGCGTACCAGGTTTGCCGCAGTGCCCGTGCGCCGCTCGCGGTTGAACCCGCACCTCGGCCGGAGCCGTGCACGCGCCTCGAGCCGCCGCAAACGCCGCGCCCGCGCCCCCTCCTTTCTCGGTATGACGTCATCGTGTGTCACCAGGCGGAGGAGCGGGCGGAGCTTGAGGCGCGCCGCGCCGGCGGCCACGTCGTGCGCGCGGGCGTCAAGGCGGACCGCAACCCCAACATGCCGCTGCTGGAGGGTGAGGCCACGGGGTAAACATGCATGTTTTTTGGGAGAGGATTACCATGTATCTTTGCAGATGCTCGTACTGTTTTTTGAGATTAGTTGGGAGGGCGTGCTCGGGACGGGAAGGGGTGCAGACAAAACGCGCCTCTTGTGATAGGAAGGTGGGCCCATGGGTGTCGAGCCCCTGGCCACCCTGAGCACAAGCTCTCCACCACAAAAGGCGGGCACCGCACTCCGCCGCCGCCGCCGCCGTCGCCGGCGCTGCTGCCGCGGCCGCTGAGACAGACGGTGTCCGCCTGTGCATGATGCAGCCCTGCGCCCTCGCAGCCCGCACTCCTTTTCCATCTACGTATCCGCAACCCCCCCGCCCAGGGCCCCATCATCCCGCCTCCTAGGCCCATGTCCTCCACCAAACCAGCCAGCGCTGATGCCGATCCTCCTACCCCACTGCCACCGCCTTGACGCAACCATGCCACACTCGTCCCCCCCCTTTCCGCCTCTTGCATGCACACACACACACACACACACACACACACACACACACACACACGCACGCACGCACGCATGTGCGCGTACACACACACTCACACACTTGCACATACACAAACACACACACCCCGCAGGCGCCCACCTGGACACGCACCTTGTCATAGACGCGCGCCTGAGGGGCAACGTCGCGCGCTTCGTAAACCACAGGTGTGAACCAGCACTTGCTTGAGCTTTGCAACGGCTCAGCTTGCTCATACACTGCGAGCGCGTTCTTGGGAATCGGCATGAAATGACGCCGTTAGCAGACCGTGTGCTAAGCGCTGCTTCGATCCATCATCGCCTGCCCCTGCAAGTACACCCCGTCCCGCGCACCCTCGCCCCTCATTGCCCCCCTCCCTTCCCCCCGCCCCAAACACCCCCCTTTCAACGCTCTGGACCCAGCTGCGACCCAAACTGCCTGGTCCAGACGGTGCTCTCGGGCTTTTGCAGGTGTGAGGCCATGCGCACGGCCACGCACATGCTGTCGGCCGTTGGGCGTCCGGGAGTGTGCGTTTGTCATCCTCCCTCCATGGACAAGCAACGCGTCGGCACCATTGCGCTCGTTGTCGTGCTCTGGCCAACCTTCTCCGACTGCATCTGGCGTGTTGGGATGTGTTTTCCCGCCCCGCTCGCTGCGTCTGCACTGCTGTGGGGCCCCTGCGCCCTCTGGGCCCCTGCCACTCAACCACCCCACCCCACCCCGTCACCCGTGTCACCCGGTGACGCAGGAGCCACGTGCTGTACTACGCCGTCATCGTCACCGGCCAGGACATCCCGGCGGGCACAGAGCTTACTTACGACTATCAGGTGGGCTTCCCCCCCCCCCCCCCCCCCCCCGCACAGATGCAGGGGTCAAAATAGTGGCTGAGGAGCGCGGAACCAATGTTTACGATGTAGGGTTCAGGAGAAAGCGCTGGGTTTTTGGGTGTCCACGGGCCCTTGTGCAAGGCCAGGGCAGCTGGGCGCGGCGATGCGCATCGGGTCTGTGTGGAGGGATATCTACACACGTCCTGCAAAATTGTCGCCGTCTATGATCGGTTTTCGGGCGCACCCTTGCCCCTGGACGGCAGTACACGCGGCTCACGCTGGAGGAGGCGGCGGCGGGCGCGACCGTCAAGCAGTGCCGCTGCGGCGCAGCCAACTGCGTTGGCGACCTGCTGGCTTGAGCAAGGCTGCGCCAGCGCAGCCAGGACGGCCGCCTACGCCCTTTGTCTCCACTGGAAGTGGAGGGTGCTGGTGGTGGTGGTGGTGGTGGTGGGATCGCGCATGCACGCGCCGCCAAGCTCGGGGGTGCGTTCGCCGTTGGCGGTCTCGGGATGCGCAGGGGCCTCGGCCGCAGAGGGTGGGGTGTGCAGCTGTCGCGCGGCGTTATGTCGTGCACCTGGCGCTTCCGCCAGGTCTCAGTCGTGAAGCCACGCAGGGTGCGTTGCTTGCGTTGTGAAGTCGGGGTGGGTGCGACCCCTGCTTGGCGCGCGAGCCATAATGTTGTTCAGCACGCTGGCTGTTATGTTTGGTTCGAGCCCAGTGCCTCCCGGTTGTATGATATTGCTGCCTGTTTGTCGCCTGCGGCCTGCTTTGCGCCTTTTATCCTTCATGCCGCTGCTTGTGCGATGACGATCGGCGGGGCCCCAGGCCGCGGCACGACAGTGCACATGGCGCACGCCGCCCGTTTGCGCAGCCAAGCACAGTCCTGTTCCTGCCCATTTGTGCCGCTGGCCGCGTTGAATATGTGTAAAGCAATCATACATAAATTTCCTTCAATCTTTCTGTGACGTGGTGGTCGTTTGGCGAAGCGGGTGGCGGTACGGGCGGCTGCACCGTCGCCCATGCCTGCCGGCGCGCCTGCCAGGCGTTTGTCGCAGCGTCGGCGGGGGCCCACGGCGCCTGCGCGGACGACAGGCGTCCCCGTGTTGCCCTCGCTGATGGTTCCTATGTGCGCGTAGCAGCACATGGCTTGCAGTGCAGGTGGCAGCACCTCCAGGCCCGGCCGCTACGGCAAGCAGCGGCCCCGGCCTTCGGCTCCGCAGATTCACGGCAGCTTCCCTCTGCTGGCGCAGGCCACAGCTTCACCAAGCTCACGCCGCCCGCTTGCGCAGCCAAGCCATGCTTCGCAGCCTGCAGCCTGAGCCCCAGGAATCAGTCTTCAGTGCGTCATCGTGCATGCCAGTGACCATCCATGATGCCAGGGCTCGCAGCTTCTCCAGCAGCGTCACCACTACCACCGCTGACTACTGCAACATGCAGTCACCCGCCCACAGCGAGCTCAAGTCAAGCAGTTTGCGACCATTATCCTGTCCCATATCCCACGGACAATCCGCGAAAGCTGGCAGGTCTCGCAGGCTTCTCACGAGCGAGTTGAACGTCTTGTGGGGTGATCTTTGCACCAAAAGTATAATTGGTAGCTTAGAAAGAAACAAGAATGGCGATGCACGAAGGCGTGAGACTCCCACGCGCACTGCGTGGCTCCGTCGCTGCACCACAGGCTCCCCTGCCGCTGCGCCCAGCCCGCACCCAGACCCGCTGCCGCGCCGCGCCCCCCAGCGCCGGCGCCGGCGCCGGCGCCGCCGCGCCCGTGCGCCTGCTGACGCCGTCGTGCGACTCCGCCGCCACGCGCCGCGCGCTGGACACGCTGGGTGAGGGCTTCCGGGAGGACCCCCTGCTGCCCATGCTGGGCGTGGCGCCCTGGCGCGAGAGCCGGTTCTTCCGGCTGTTCTCGATTTTCCTGGACAAGTGGTCGCAGCAGCGGGTACTGTACGTCGCCGGCGGCGGCGACGCGATGGCCATCGTCGCGGACTCAAAGCTCTATAAGGTGCGCTTGGCCCCTGGCCCATGGCCCCTCCCCTGTGCTGGCCGGCTGCGAGCCCTCAGCCAGCCCGGTCGCGGCTGCGGGAATGAGTCTGATCCTGGTCATGGGTTTCTGAGCTGAGGCTGCACCTGCAGGCCCTGTGCATTGTGAGGGCTGGCACGCACTGCGCGCACGCACGCGCGTGCGCGCGCACACACACACACACACACACACACACACACACATGCACACAATTCATGCATGTTATCTTTCGACCCGCGCCCCCAACACAGTCCACAGAGCTGGGGCCGCTGGACTTGCTGCGCAGCGGCGCAGCCCTAGAGCTGCTGCTACTGCCGCCGTCCGTGTGGCCAAGTATCGGCGGCTGGATGGACCAGTTGAACGGGTCTGACCAAGTGTTGGAGGTGGGGCCCCGCGGGAGCTGGGTCTTAGGGACTTGGGCGCTGCGGTCGTCCCCAGCAATGACCGTTGAAATTCCGAGCCGTTGCTATGTGGAGCCCGTGGGGCTCAGGAAGCCAAGGGCAGTGTCTGCTGAGCCCTGGGGTGGGGCGTGGGGGGGGGGG